ATTACAGGTTGTCACAACTCCAAGTCCTCCATTATGTTTTAGCATTACCACCACATCCCAACCGATCCAATGAATCTTTCATTTGTTATAAATACCTCCCCAAAGGAACTTTCTTCTAATGCTCTCCAAGATATCGATAATTTTTTTAGTTGCCTTAAAAAGGGAAAAGCAAAAGAGTTGGAGACTGGAGACTACCCAAAACAACTTTCACAAGAGTAAGACTCCCACCAAACGATAGTTTTCTAGCTTTCCACAAGGAAAACTTCGCTTTGAAATTTTCCACAATATGACTCCAATTTCTAGCTAGTTTCATGTTCGCCCCAATGAGAAGCCTAAGATAAGTAAAAGAGAAGGAAGCGGGCTCACAATGCAAAACACTAGCAAGTCGAGAAATATTCACCACATCTACACAAATACCATAAAATTTGCTTTTAAGAAGGTTGACCTTCAAGCCAGAGGCAAGATAAAAGCACCTAAGAATTCTATTCAAGTTTATGAAATTGATTTCAGACCATTCCCCCACAAAGGTTACATCATTTGCATACGTAAGATGCAATAAATAAGGGTCATTATTAGGTAGAGAAATACCTTGAAAGATATGACGATCACAAGCTTATTTTATGGATAGTTAAGTCATTCCATTGCAATAATGAACAAGAAAGGAGATAGAGTGTCCCCTTGCATCACACCTCTTTTGATCGCAAACTCTCTAGTAGGGGAACCGTTTACCAAAATGGAAGTTCTACAGGAGGAGAGACACCCATGCATTCATTTTCTCCATTTACAACCAAAATTCATTTGCTCTAAAATAGAATCCAAGTATCTCCAATTAAGAGAGTCAAACGTCTTATCAAAATCTATCTTAAAACAAGAATTTGTTTTTTTTACCTTTTTGGCCCAAGTATAAAGCTCATTGATCACAAGTGGTCCATCAAGGATGCATCGACCTTCCACATACATTATATCAAAGATTTTCAAAATTATGACAATTAATATCTTTAAGATTGCAAACAAGCATCAAACAACCATTACAAGGGATAATGCACTACAAATGTAACATGGTTTAGATTGTGTACACATTTAGTCACTTATGTTTATTTTTGTAAGCATTTAGTCATTTATGGTTTTTTTGTACATATTTAGTCACTTATGTTTTTTATTTTGTACACATATGGCTATTAGGTTTGATGGTCATATATGTACAAAGACAAAAACATAAATGATTAAACGGGTACAAAAAAACACAAATGACTAAATATGTACACAATCTAAACTATGTTATCATTTTAGTATATTATCCCTTATTACAATTATCGATAATTAATATCTTTAAAATTGCAGTAAAGAGTTATTATAATTAATATCTTTTAGATTGCAAATAACCATGACGATACACTATATTTAATATCATTAAAAGCTACTGTTAAACCTTAAGCATTTACAATTCACAAAATTCACAAAGGCTTTTCATGAGTTTTTTATATCTTTACAAGTTACAGTTAAACCCAAAACATTTTTATAATTAAACAATCCAGAAAGTTCCCACAGCATTTACAATTAAACAATTCTAGTTCACAAAACTTTTAACGTCTTTAAAAGCTATCTAATGAAAACCCCTTTAGTTTAACAAACATTAAAAACGAAAACTAATCTACATTCACGAGTTTTTTTTCAACTAAAAACTTAAATTCGTATGTCAAGAATATGGGAAAAATCTGTTAATAGTTTTGACTTTGAACAATTGACAACCCTAATTAGTTGTTGCTAAGTATTACTAGTTTATAGTAAATGTAATCTCTCTCTCTCTCTCTCTCTATATATATATATATATATATATATATATATATATATATATATATATATATATATATATATATATATATATATATGGTTAGGTTCATGTGAGACCACTAGATTTTGTGAGACGGGGAGACCAAATCTTGACCACTCATCTTGAATAATCAAAGGCTAATATTAATTTAGATTAAACCATAAAATAGGCGGTGGCAATTTTGTAAATTAATGGAACTTTAAGATTAGATCAAGACACGGAGGGCCAGGAATGGAATTTTGCATTCTTTTTCGTTTAACACACAAAAACACCCTGTATTCTTCCTAAAAACCCTAGATACAAACACTAAAACCCATTTGATCCAAATCTCGATCATCGTTCTGCTTCCAAATCTCGATCATTGTTTCAGACTCCTTATTCTCATTATACCTGAAATTCATCTTCGAATTCTTACAAGAAAACCCTCGATAATCAACTAGAACATTAAAAACCTTTTAATTTTGAATTTGATATCGAATCAAATGGCTCATTCTACAGATTCTGATTCTGATTTTGTATCAACAATTGTTCCGAGTAAGTATAATACTATAAACCTCTTGTTCTTATTCAATAAACCTATATGTTCTTATTATAGAAAGTTTTTTCACTTTAAATCGTTGTGTATCTTCAATAAATGTCTAATAATCGAGATATTTCACTAGCGATTTATATGTCGAAGTCAGGATGTAATGGAATATAGCATTATAAAACATACAATCTAAACCTAAATGTCAGTGTGTGATTTATATAGAGTCTATGTATCTAAATGTTAACTCTACATGTCATTCAAAAGTGTTCTAATTATTCCTCATTTCATTTGATCTAAATATTCTTAATCAAAATCAGCAAATATGTTATGTTGTTCTAACTAATTGTTCATCATTTAATTAGATTTAGATCCATAAATTGTCTAATACTATAGATTTTGGTAACATAAATCTCTTCTTATGATTGTAGTATAGTGTTTAGCCAAAAAAAAATCTTTGTATTCTAGTGAATTTTATGTTGATTGATATTAGAAATTTGTTGTTATGTATTTATAGAACTGTGACCAGATTATATATCCTCAACTAATATGAATTCTAATGGAATTTGTTGTTATTGATGCAGCTAAAAAAGTGCAAACAAATGCAACCGTAAGAAAAACAGGGAAAGAAATTTATATAGATAAAGGTATAAATTGTAATTACTTTTAGATTAAATATTATAATTGCTTTTAGTAACTTCTAAATGCTTTTAATAAATATTCTAATTGTTTTTATTTGATAATTTTCTTTATACAGATTCAGGGGATCAAGATAGGGTTAAAAAATGTATGAACACACTTTCTTTCAAATAATTCATAACAAAGCAAATGTTTGGATTTATTTTTTTAAGTTAATTATTCTGAATATTCTAATTTTTTTTATCATATATTCTAATTGATTTTAATTGTTAAATTTCATGATAAAGATTTGCAAATTGTAAATCAAAAGAAAAAGAAGGCAGATGAAGGAAAATCAAAGAAAAAAATGAAAAAAAAATTGTTGTTACTTCTGAAAGCGACTCTGATTCTTCTTCTGATTCATCCTCACATCATAGAAAAAGAATTAAAAAATGTATCAACAGTCATTCTTTAAAATACTTAACAAAAGAAATTTTTTGGATTTATTTTTTTCAGTTGATTATTATGAACATTCAAATTGATTAAAATAAATAATCTAATTTATTTCAATTTTTAAATTTCTTCATACAGCTAAAAATACAAAAAAGAAAAAAAGACTTGAAAAGAAAAAAAGACACTGTTTCAGATTCTTCATCTTCAGAGACATCAGAGTCAGAGACATCCACAACAGAGAGTGATGAATATGGTAAAATATGTTGTCTTTTATAATATATATATGTTGAGATCCAATAAAAGTATATTACATTCTTCTAATAGAATAATTATTGATGCAGATAAAGTAAATAAAAAGAAAAAAAGAAAAGTCAAAAAACATTTCAAGTGCCACAGCAAATTAATCCATAATGATGTGAAGCACAAAAAGAAAAAGCATGTTTCTGATTCTTCAACAGAATCAGATACACAGTCAACGGGTAAAATAATCTAAACTTTTTTTTTTCTGAAATATGATTTTATACTTTATAATTCCAATATTATGGAACAATAGAAATATTAGAGTGTTTCTAACAATAATTTTCATAGCCTATGTTTGACATGAATTACTTATGGATCATAACTGAAATTCTAGGTATTTTGATGTGAAAGTATTTTTCTAGTGTTTATTGATGTGAAAGTATGTTTCTATGATATGAAATGTTTATGGTTCATATTACACATTCTAGATATTATTATATCATAAATCATATACTTGATTTTTGTTGTTTTACTTAGCTGATATAGGATTTTGCAACATTTGAGTTTAATTTTTTATAAATAATATAATTTGAATAAATATCAACATTTTACTTAGATGATATAGTATTTTTGGATTAAATTTCATAGAATATTCTGATATAATAAGTGTCTATGTATAATATTCTGTTAGAATATTACTTTATAATGAGATGATATAGGATTTTTGGATTTTTGTGGTGTTACTAACATTTATGACTGATGTAATGAATTAGATGATTAATCTGATGAAGAAATCTATGTAAAAAAGAGAACCAGTGATAGAAAATATGTTAAAGGAGTGACAAAGATTAAAGAAGCAAAAAGGAAGAGGAATAGTGGGGACAATCGTGCACCAATAAAGAAGCAAAAAAGCATGAAAGAGCAAAAGACTGTGAAGGATATATTGAAGGAGTTGCCTTCAATAAACACTAGATCAACACCTAGATTGATGACAGATGTTGTAAGTTCTTTGACATCAGAACAAAAATATTAGGTGAAACGGATGGGATTTAAAGCGTTTTTCAAGATCAACATTAAGAGTATTCCCTTAAAACTTTGCCATTTTGTGCTTGAGCATTATGATGAAGGCACAAACAGTATTCTGATTAAAGGAAAAATAATAAAGAGCACAAACAGTATTCTGATGAAGGCACAAACATATTTTCAACTACACTTTTTTCTAGCCGAGAGAAATCAGAAACTATTAAGGAGAGAACTTCAGTCAAAGCAGATAGAGATAAAGAGCTTAATAAAACAAACATTTCTGATTTTGATGATGATAAAGATGAAAGAATGAATACAAAGTTGGTTGCATTTTTAGCTGTTAAACCATTACAACAGAAGTTTCTAGAGAATGAAGAAAGACAAGAAGAAGATCAAGATATGAATGTTGACGACCCAATAAATTTGGGTTTAGAGAATAATATTGACGAGGAAACTATTAGACATCCGCACAATCCAGAAAGACAAATAAAATTTGAAGGCATAAATGTTGATGACAATATAAATTTGGCTTTAGAGGTGAATAATATAGACGAAACTATTGGAAAGAAGAATTTAGAAGAGAATGTTGAGAGCAAAAATCTTGTTGAGGGTGGTGAAATGATTGGTGGGGAGAAGATTAGGGGGTGGAATATTGTAGAGAAGGTGGTTGGAGACAACATAGGTGGGAGCTCAATTGTTACACCAAAACACGATCCAAAAGGTATGAATATTGTAGACAAGATGGTTGGAGACAACAACATAGGTGAGAGCTCAATTGTTACACCAAAACACAATCCAAAAGGTATATCGATTGATTTTTCCCCTTAGTCTGATTCATTCATAGAAAAATTAGATGAGGATTTGTTTAGAATATTCTCAAACAGAAATCCAGATTCAAATACAATTCCAAATCTAGTTGTCAAATCTATTGTTCCAAAAAAACTAACATTTGAAAATTCAGAATTTCCTTCCTTTAATCTTCAAATAACCCAACTAATGAACGATGCAGAAACTGGTGATAATTCTGAGGGTAATGATGAAGATGGAGAGTTATAAGGGAATGAAGAACATATTTTAGATGAGAAAGGGAAAAAGGGTCAGAATGTGAATGAAAGAGGGAAAAGGAAGGTGACTATTCCAGATATTTTTAGATCGCCTTTTTGAATAGGGTAATTGATTTAAGTGAAAAAGTCAGTACTGGGCAAGAGATAATGGCGCAAATCATGTTTAGATGCGCTGGAGACAAACATACAATGTAAGTAAATTCACAATGTTTAGTAAACTTTTTTTATTACATATGTATATTCTTGAAGGAATACTTTTATAAATTTGAGTATTGTGTAATATTCTTATTAGAATATTGTAACACTATTCAAAATAAGATATTATTCTAATTAATTTACATTAGTTTTAGTTAAATAATATATTTTAACTACAATGCAATATTTTTGTTTGAAGGGAAATGTTGTTTGAAACCGAGTCTGGAGACATAATGGATAGGGTGCGTTTTGAGGGTATGCGTCCAAATCATAAGATACATTCTTTTGTTATTGATTGTTGGGCTGTTGTTCTTAATTTTGAAGAAGAAAATCTGAGAAACAAAAAATCACCACCACGTGTCTTCAACACTCAAATTATGGTACTTAATTTTTAAATTTATTTTCTGTATTCTAATTATAATTTATAACAATGTATTCTAATATTTCTATTGTTCTATATGTACAGACAGAAAAATTATTGGATTCTTCAATACCTTTTGTCGAAAGATTCCGACTTTTTGATGAGGATGTAAACAATTACTTATATGACATCAAAAGAAAAGTGGATTTCAATTCTATTAATCTGGTATGTATTTTTTATTACAAGATAACATATTCATATTAAATTTTATAAAATTCATCTGTATTTATGTTTGAACTACAGGTGTTTTCTAATACACAATCATGGTCATTTTTATGGTCTTATTTTCAACCTTACAAATCCAGAACATATAATCATTGACAGCATAAGATACACCAAAAAAGTAGAAGATATCTATGGAGAGATTCCTAAACTTGTGGTAAATCTTTCTTGCATAAATCTAAATTTTTTATTTTAATCATAATTGTTTACTTTAAAAAACCACTCTGTATAAGTAAATAAATTCTGATTAGAATATAAAATATAATATTTATATTCTTATAAGATTTATTTACTTAATATAGTTATAATTTTAGAAAAATAATGGTATTTTATTAATATACATTGCAGCAAATGTACTTTTCAAAGTTTTTGGACAATAATCGGCAGGATAAGGTTTCTTTGCTTAAATCTGTGAAGCCAAAGAAAATGAAAATGGCATGGCAAACAAAAGCTAAGACAAATGATGATGGTATATTTTTGATGAGGCACATGGAAAAATACATGGGTGAGAAAGAAGAAAAGTGGGATGTGGAACTGGGAGAAGACAGTGTTAGGACATCTAAGAAGATTGCAAAGTTGCGTACATTTTACGTTGCAAAGCTAGCAAACCATCAAATTAACAAGCAGATAAAATTGAATGTTGAAGAAGCATTGGAATTTTCAAAACTTGATAAGAAAACTAGGTGTATGTTAGTGAAAGAAGGGAGTGAAGCAAGAGACAAGCTGGAAATGAAGAAAGTTTGAAAAGTTCTTATATTGGCTTATTACATACAGACAATTTATTTTCTGTTGTGTTTTTTTAAAAATACTTATGTTTGAGGATATGTTTAAACCATTGATATTTTGGTAAATGATATGCTTAAACCAGATAGTTGGTATCTTGATAAAATATTTACTGCTTAATAGTAAATGATATATAGCATTTAAAATTTTTGTTTGATGATGCCTAATTATTTGATTAAAAAGTTGTTTGGTAAAATGATAAATGATTAAAATCCATATATGTTTATTATTCTTATACAACAATGTTGACAAATAAAAACACATATTGTTAATATTGTATTAAGCTTATTCTAATTTGTTTTATGTTAATTATTCTGATTATTCTGGTTTCATTAAAATACTTAATAATAAAACGTTTTATTATCTAACTATAATATAATATGTAATATTGTTTTAGAATATTTTAATAAAAAGAATAAATGAAATTAGATTTAATATCCTGTTACAATAATAAAAAAATTAGGATAATAAAATTTTAGTATATTTTAGGACATCTTACTTTAGAAAATAGAGTATATTGTCTCTATTAGTAGAAGTAAAATTTTAGAATAAATTAAAATATTTGTTTTAGAATATTTGTAATTAAGTAATTTTATTTTAGAATTAAAATAATATCATAACTTTGTTTTAGAATATATGTAATTAAGTAATTTTATTTTACAATTAAAATAATATCTGAACCAAAGTGTAAGTTTTTAAATTAAAAGGGACTAAAAATACTAGGACTTATTTGCCAGGGACGAAAAAGGGACAAATGTAATAACTTTGAGATTACGACTTATTCACGAGGGAAGAACATTAAAATGAAAAAACTCAATTTCTTCATTTGTATTCTCAAAACCCTCTTTCAAACTTCTTATCATTTTCGGTTTAAAAACTCCATCAAAACCCTAACTTCTTGTGCTTTTGAACTCGTCATCTGTAACAACGTAAATTTCCAAAACAATTTTTCATTTATAAAACATACTTTTAGTCACAAGATAATATCAAAACATAATGTATCCAATGTTACCGTAACAAAACATATCCCAGAATCTCAAGACATAAACTCCATGAGTATGTACGGATCATGTCGGCGCCTTCCCGCGATCCCCGCTAGTACCTGAAACACATAACACAACAACTGTAAGCATAAATGCTTAGTGAGTTCCCCAAAATACCACATTCAACACATACGCCACTCAAGGCCATAGCTCTATGGGACCTTCCGGTCCCTGTGTCTTAGGGGACTTCCGTCCCAACCCTAGTAGACCTTCCGGTCCTACTCCATCGACCTTCCGGTCCTACTCTGTCGACCTTCCGGTCCGTACCACGTTGACCTTCCGGTCCATACACTGCCGACCTTCCGGTCCATACCATGTTGACCTTCCGGTCCATATCATACTGACCTTCCGGTCCATACCATGCTACTCATAACATACGTAACATAAACATATCACATAGAAACATATATAACGTACTCGTCCTAGCACATAAGACCTTCCGGTCACACATTTCATAACTCATAAACATAAGACCTTTCGGTCACTCATAGTTACCATTCCAGGTAAAGTATAGTGAGAATACTCACCTCGTACGAAGTCGGATAAACTCTTGTGATGGACGTCCCGACCTAGCCTCCTCCTATCATCCGAATAACATTTCCGATCAAAACCCTCTCATAGTCTCATCATTACAGATTGGGTAGAAGGCCATTCCACCCCTCTCTGAACTTCCTGAATCAGCTTGACCAAAACCCTAAAGTCAACTGAAGTCAACGGTTAAACTTTGACCCGACTCGTCGACTGCACATGGGTGACTCGGCGAGTCCATGCGGATCCTCTGAATCCTTCTAGCCTCACTTGGCACGTCGAGTCATCCCTTCACTCGACGGGTTACTCCTGTCACGAATCGCTGGGCAACCCCGACTCGACTCGTCGAGTCCACTTATGGACTCGGCGAGTTGCGTCCATGGCAACACTCAAATGACCTTCTGAGGTCAGATCCGCTTCTCTAACCTATAGATCTGACCTTTCCATACCCACTAATCACGTAAAGGTGAAACCTTTACACTCATGCAACACATATATGGTTCCTTTTGAAGAAATAGCCTCACAAATGGCAACCTAAGTTCATTCCTTCCATAACACTTCATAAAGCAAGATGGATAATGCTCTCTGGACCTCTATGGGTCCAGATCTGAAATCTAACACATAAAGGGACCATAATCTCATCAATTCAAACCATAAAAGGGGTATAGAAAACCCTAGATTCATAGATCTTAACCAAAACAGAAAGAGAGTTCGATTTGCTACCTCAACACTGCAGATCCAAGCTTGGAAACCACGGATTAGCAACCCTCTTGACCTCCTCTAGCTGGAAACACCTTCTTCTTTGTAAAACAACACCAAGAAGGATTAAAATGGCTTTCTCTCACACACAACTCGCCCAAGCTCTCTAGGGTTTCTCTCTCTGGACTGGTAGCCGCAAATGAGGTCTATAAGGACCCTTAAATAGGGCACAGGCCCAAAGATTTAGGGTTTCTGTCCACAGCGCGGACTCATCGAGTCCACCCATCGACTCATTGAGTCCCTTCATTAATCCAGTCAGCAAATCGCGATCCTACTTGACGAGTCTAGACGTCAACTCATCGAGTCCGTCCTCATACCTCAAAAAGAAATACTCAAATTGTCATGCCTGGAAATCCGGATGTTACAATTCTCCCCCATTTGAAATAGATTTCGCCCTCGAAATCGCTCCTCAACCACATAGATAGAAACCAAACACTCGAAAGTACCACTGAGAGGTTCTCACACCAAAACGATATCTTTCTCCATGAATACCTGGATCCGACCAGGAACTCCAAATTTGGAACAAAACCGGCCCCTCTGTCGCTAAAATACCCCTTTCTGACCTTCCCAGAATCGGGAAACTCTAGTGGCCTGGCCTGCCGTCAGACCGCCCACTCACGCTATCACCATGATGTTCGCTCTTCGAACATCAAACCCTGATAACTCACTGCTCCTCTGATTCTCACAAGACAAAATCCGACAATCGGCTACCGATCACTCATACCAACGTACCAAAACAGTCCGAATCACGCCCCAAGGAACGAAAGGGTTTACATCCCACCAGGGCTCACCCACTGAACTACTATCAGAATCCATCCGAACAATAAACTTTCAACATCCTGTTCTCTGACACAAGAGAATCATGCTCGCTCAGAAGTCCTCAGATATCTAAAATCATAAGCCTCAGCTGCATCCCTCGTATCCCTTTTTAACACTGAGTACCAGGTCTGATCTCGACCCAACAGTTGAACCTCCAGGGTCATTCGTTGCATTATCCCAACCGTCTCCATGGTTTCCTTCTTACCATAACCACATCGGCCCAATGTGACACACAAGTAACGAAGTTCGCTTAACCCTAAGCGAATGCTACCTTCCCAACTGGAGATCGACTCAACCCCGACCTCTATCATCTGTTACTCATCGTTCCATGCAACTTGCGGTACCTCCCGTACCCGAGTACTGACCGACACAGGTCTAAGACATCAGATAACAAACAATACTCCTCAACATGGAACCTACCTCAGAATCCAGAATCTCATCTCGCCTATCCAACGCACCACCAGAGCCAAACTCAACTCGAGAGTTTGGTCCGACCCAGAGTTGGAACCACTCATCCCAACGAAGCACTCGGCTCAGAACTCATTTCCCACAACCCATGCGTACCTCACTTATTCCATTCTTTCGGATTGCGGTGACCACACCTTACTCAGAACATAATGACTCCCTATCTTTGAGGAGACCCCGGTATCGCCCCTGGTCCGACCACCAGGTTCCCAGAAACTCACAAATTAGGGCCACCCCATGCCTAAAACTCTTTTGCGCCATGCTCTAATCAAAGAGTATTTTATCATGACAACTTCTCGCTGACCAGTGTGTACTACGTCTTCCCGTAGCGTCACATCGACCTCTCACTGACTGGTGAGTACTACGGCTTCCCGCGGTATCACCACAACCTCTCACTGACTGGTGAGTACTACGGCTTCCCGTAGCATCACAACAACCTCTGACTAGTGAGTACTACGGCTTCCCGTAGCATCACAACAACCTCTGACTAGTGAGTACTACGGCTTCCCGCGGTATCACTACAACCTCTCACTGGCTGGTGAGTACTACGACTTCCCGTAGCATCACAACAACCTCTGACTAGTGAGTACTACGGCTTCCCGCGGTATCACTACAACCTCTCACTGGCTGGTGAGTACTACGGCTTCCCGTAGCATCACAACAACCTCTGACTAGTGAGTACTACGGCTTCCCGTAGCATCACAACAACCTCTGACTGATTCACAATCAGCGGATCAATCATAGATAGGTGCATGCACTTACCCAAATTATGCATCACTATATCTGGCGGCAATCGTCATAACAAAACACCCTTCCCTGCTACGATCCATATTCTTGGACAATCTCACTTGCTGTCATTAACCGAAAGGGCTCCCACTGGAATCATCGATGCTTGACCCACCACTTGCCGTCTCCACTCAAGACTCAAAATTATCCGAAATCCAATGCATTCAATTTGGATACCTCGATACACCACATAGGACCTCACGACGTCTCGTCTCATCCACTGATCTTCCTGTTCCACAACCTGAAATTGGTTGTCTAATCAACTTTTGCCCCTTTCCAAGCTGAATAACAGCCCCATCATTGAACCAGAATTTCTCAACCGCCGAACTCACCCTACGAGCCAACCATCTCGAATTCACCATTATGACCTTGAAGAATTCCCGTTCACCCAAGGTCTCCGATCAACGGCCACTTGCCGTGGAGGCACTCATCCTTTTCAAACATAACACATGCATTATCTCGCTCTACACCTCGTCTCAATCACCAACAACCTTGGGCTCAATGAATTCGCACCGCCGGTCTCTATATCCAGATCTCTAACCATTCTCGATCGAATCTCTG